AAAAAAAAAAAAACTTTAAAAGTAGACCCTCAATTCTAAAGCACTCTTAAAAATATAAAGGTGCCCTCTTTAGGAAAAGACTAGCATCTACTTTCCCTGCACCGGTAACCTTTGCAAGTGTTTTCTTTGTTTCATTCTGTGCCATGCAAACACTGCCGTCAGGTGAGAAACTGCCGAGAAGCGCAGTGACTTTATAAATGTCATAGGGCAGAGCATGAGTGGTAAAGAAACGCTATGGGAAAGCTCACTTTTGACCCAGACATCCTCATTGTATACCGTATTGCCAATCCTATTGCTTCTATATACTTTTCTCACAAAAAACTAATTTTTTAAAAAATGGAGATTACGTATTCAACAAAAGATGTGCAATATACCATGTCAGTGCAAAAAGCATAATACATTTTAAAATACTTTAAAAAGAAATTGGAGTGTTTTATATCCTGATAAAGTATGTTCCCTTTATTGCTTTGTATTTCTCTAAGAGAACAAAACAAATCCCAAGCTAGAGTCCAAAGGCTGAAAGGGTCATGAGGTGACCTGCATTACAAAAGCATCCCTTTGAGCAGTACAGAGCCTGCCTGGCAAGTGCAAGGTCCTGAGTTCGACTCCCAGTACCAAAAAACAAAAGCATCACTTTGAAAGAATCCTTTTGCTCATATGTTAAAATTCAGTGTACAAAAATATAACTGAAAATCTGGGGAAAGTGTCTACGCTTGAAGGCTAAGTAGTCTTTCTTTTACAGGATTATGTTCAACACTTTATGAGCATTGCCTTAATTCTTGCAAATCATGCTCAGTTTCAGCAAAAGCAGTGTCATTAACTATCTTATAACTCATTTAAGGCTGCCTGTCTTTATCAAAGAGTAGCGGGGTTTTGGTTTGTTTTTTCTTTTCTTTTTTTTTTTTTTTTTTTGCCTCCTACCATCATTTAGATACAAAAGTAGTACTCTAATTTTCACAGCATAAAATGTGTTCTTTGGTAAATGCTGAATTCAAGGAGAGGTCAAATGCACTAGGATGGTAACAGAGTCTCTAAGTTTTCCATTTTCTTTCCAATGAAAATATTGTTCAAGTGAAATGCAATAAAACAGATTTATTGATAGATATTTTATAAAAGTAAGCTCAAAAATTATAATTGTGGCTAACCAGGTTAATATATTTTAATCATATTAAAATTTTCCTCTAAAGAGAAATGTTAATTTGAAGAATCATTTTACTGTTTGTTATTATCCTACATTGAAAAATGTACTGTACATATAACACAGAAATAAAAACTGCCTCTTGCAGATATTAGAAAAAAACTTCCAAATTTAAGAATGGTTTTGTTTCAAAGTTTCTCATCACATATAATTTGAGGAGGAAAGAGGAATAACAGAGTTACAAAACTGAATATACTATTTGAAACCATCCTTCAAGTATTTTGTCCATGAAAGTTGTAAGATTTTATGTATGTTAAGGCAAAGTGTACAGAAATACAGTTAAATTTCTTGATCAAAGTTGAAGCTTTCTTTGTGAAGGCCAATAGAATTTGTTCCATACAATATAGGATATTACTATTTTTCTTATTCATAGTTGTAATTACTTTTATTCTGTGCATTATATCAAATCTTAATATAACTTTTTTATCTCTGCAATTTTACCTCAAGTTTTCATCCTCTTAATGATTGACCTGTTATATCATTATTACAATAGCAATGATTGCTATTCACTTCAAAGAAATTATATATCTTGGGAAAGTACCGCTGTTATATGAATTCTAACAGCATAAATGACACATTGGTTTGCTTGACTATTGGAAATATCACACAAAAATATTATTTGCATTTGTCAGCAAATAACCAACAAAAATTACTTGCATTCACTTAAGGCATTAACTTACAAACGCCCATTTTTACATCCCAGACCGATTTAGCCAAACCTACAGAAATCAAATTTATTTCATTATAAAAAGTTCCGCCCATTTGCTGTTTTGTTCGGGGGCGGTTGCTTTTGTTTTTATGCAATGCATGGATTCAATCTAGGTCAATTACTTTTATAGCAAGGGTCAGTTTTATCCAGTCAACACTAAAACTTTTCTTAAAGGAGGTATTTTATGTTGGGAGTAGCAGACACAATAGATTTGGAAAATGGTTTGAAAATATTATTGATAGAAAGTAATATTCAGGCACCAATGTGTTACCGTGGTATAGTGTGTAAGAAATGCAAATCAAAGGACACTCAGTTCATGCTAAAATAACTCCTTGATTACCTACACTCTGTAACTGGAAATGCTACAGTAGAAACTGAAGTAAAACAAGATTAAAATTGCAAACTCCAAACTTCCTGAATTCTGCAGCTCCAAATGATTAGTAGTCTACACATTATGATGGCATTATAATTTGACATCTAGGATGTGTTATTCAGGACTAGTCTAATTGTACTAGGATGGATATGTGGCAGCTATTAGTTTTTTATCTCATTTTTAGTTATGAAGTATATTAAAATTTCAGGAAAGTGCTTATCAAGTCCTGCAGATATCATCTAGCATGCATTAAAATAATGAGAGTTTGGGACAGGTCCCAAAATCCGGCATTGCTATGACTATACTGCCCTCTAGTGGTGAAATAACAGGTGTTTACACAGAAGTTCCTATGTCTTTTTCAGGTCAGTATTTTCATGACCCATTTGTCCAACTATGGGAATGACCGACTGGGATTATATACATTTGTTAATCTGGCCAACTTTGTGCAGACCTGGACCAACCTCCGTCTTCAGACTCTGCCTCCAGTGCAACTAGCTCACAAATATTTTGAGCTGTTTCCTGATCAGAAAGATCCTCTCTGGCAGGTAAAAGTGGCTCAATAATTGATACAATTAATCCCACAGACATATTTTATATTTCTGTAAAGCATCCAACGCTGAAAATGGAAGGAATTCTTTAAAAAAACCTCCGTTTAGTAACTACTTCCTGAATTGTAGTCATATTATTACTACAGTTTGAGCCAAATTCTCTCTTCCTTTGACAGTTAGAAATCACAGAATTTTCAGGGAGAGATTCAGTAGATGTAAAGTTTTCAGTCAAGAGTGAGAGACCAATTTGCAAGTTGCAACAGGTTGGAGGGATAGAAATTGGTAATGGGTTGTGTATAAGCAGAGTGCCAATTGGTCAACCTTGAACACACTACCCATGTCTAATGACTAAACCATAGTAGAGGGTCTCCAAGAAGACACTGAATCCGCCTTCTGAACCCCCATGTACATCAGCAATCACAGAATATGAATTGCACTCAGAAATAGTAATTGGAAATTACTTGGGACATGAGAAAATTGTTTATAGCTGAGTCATCAAGATTCCAAAGAGAAAATATAACGTTCGTATGGCATATGCCAACTACTCTAATGATAGCCTACATTTCAAAGTATAGACTCAGGTAGTATAGAATTGTGAAAACTAAGCTAAAATTGCCCACTTGAAGATCTGTGGAAACCAATAATTTCAGCAAATAATTACATGTATCATGTTAAGCACTTCATTTATATTCATAAATATATGTATATATTTGTATTATTCTTATTTTCCAGATGAAGGTCCTAAGGCACAAAAGGTCCATATTGGTAAAGCAAGGTCACACAGCTACATGTGGCAGAGCAGGAGCCAGTTCTAGGCTGTCTGGCCTCCAAAAGCAGTGCTCTTAATCACTGTTCTAAGTGGTAAAACAGTAACAACATTTAGAAGCAAAACTTAGTAAATTTCACAAATTGAAGGTGTGATAAAGTTTGAACTCTGTACTTGATCCATTAAGCATTGACCTGCGAGCTCGTTACCCTAGGAACAGACAGGTACTTCCAAGAAGGGACAGAACAATGTATTTAGCGGGTTAAAGCCAGGGGCTGTGGAATTATGGCAGAACATCATTTTCCAGTTGCTGTAACGAGCATCTTAACCTCCACCAAACATCACCAAATGTTAATGACTGTGAAGGCATACAATTTCTCTGCTAATTTAACACTGTATTTTTAAATTGAAATCATTATTATTTCAGGTGACAACGTTAAAAAATTTTTTTCCAGAAAATCAGCCCAAAGATTACCTTCACTTTACTTTGAATTAAAAATAAGCAGTTTATTTAACTTCATTTACTACAGTATTAATTGAATAGAAGTAAAACATAGTCCTGTGTGCCAGTTCCTAAAATAGCATTAAAGAGTATAACAATTGTTTCCATTTTTCTATATAATATACACTTTGTATTTAAACTGAAGGGTTTTCTAGATATGTCATGCACAGTGGTTGTTGGTTTGAGGTATTACAGACCAAAAGCAGAATGCTTAAAGTAGTAATTCTTTTTACCCTTTTGTTTCAGTTTAGTACTTTTTAGCATCATAGTCTTTAATGTTACATTTGTGGTATATATTTATGACCTTTGAAGGCAGCTGAAAGGAATCAGCTTTCTTTAAATGGTATTGATATGGCTAGATCCACATCCCTTTGAAGCACAGCAGGAAAATTCAAAATTACTTAGGAAAAAAACTCTGATACCTTGTACTTCAGTTATTTATTAAATATTGAGAGTATATTTCCCTTTAGGTTAGCAGGAAGTATATCTCTACTCAGCAAGCTCACTATTAAAAAATGTTAAAACATAGAACTGCCAGTATCAGAAAAATATTAAGCTCTTGGTACTACAAGGCTGTCTGCCCAAAGTAGAAATTTCTCTTCTCCCCCACCTTCTCACTCAAAATTTCAAGAAATAAAGATTATTCTAAATCTGTGATGCCCCTGCAGGGCTTTCAGTTTCTTTAAAGGAAGCTTGTTGTTTGTCTCATTGTTCCCTGAGGTATCTTATATGAACAAACATTGGAAATGCTAGCGCACAATGGACACACTCACAAGGAAAAATACATCTCTATGTTCTTCTCCAATTTTTAGAATCCATGCGATGACAAACGCCACAGAGACATTTGGTCTAAAGAAAAGACCTGTGATCGCTTACCAAAATTCTTGGTAATAGGACCCCAGAAAACTGGTGAGAACTTTTAATGCTATGATTAAGCAAATAGTATAAAAATACAAATGGCTATACAATGAATTCTTGTCACAGTGGGTTCTTAAATTTCCCATAAAGCTTTAATGACTATTCTATAAATGAATAAAATGTTATCCTCTGATATAAACTTTGTTTATCTTGATAAGGTCTTTAAGAGCTTTGTCAAAGTGGTTTTTTTGAGTGAAAAGTATGAAATTGATGTCACAGAGTCTGAATATTTAATTTGGTGGCACGTCTTTTTTCCAAAAATCTTTCTTGAAAAGTGTTTTGACATTTCTAAAATCAAAACTAGTTGCATGTTTAGAAAATGACTGACAGGTTTTTCTCAAAAGTCAAGAGACACACCTATAAGCACATAGAACTCTTTATAATAAATCCCTTCCGGAGAAAAAAATCTCTTAACCCTGCCATCTTCCTGATTTACAAGTTGACTTGTAAACTATTTCTTGAAGAGATAAGTATTTTCTAACAGTCTAAAATATTTGACAAGCAGAATTCCTTGACATAAACAAAATTTTGTGCTAAGAAAGATCTTTATTCATACCCAGGAGAAAGCTGTTGCACCTTTTCTTATATTGGTGTGCAATTTCTTCCCCATAAACTTCTTGTTTCTGTGAGAATCAGTATTAGAATGAAGCCCAGTGGAAGACATTCAAGCTGTATCTTGCGTGATAAATTATTCTGGGCCCTGGGATTCTGGCTTCACAGAAAACAGCCATTTCAACTCTGTTGCTTGCTAAGGGGAGTACATTTCCTCTCCTTGTCTCTCTGGAAATAACTGAGGGTACACAGACTCTTCCCTATTCATCTCTTCTTAGTCTCCTTTGTAAGTATCAATCTGGAAACAATAACAAGTATGACAAATACTCTTGTCCTTCTTTACTTCACTTGTCCTTATCTATCTAAAGTCAAGGGCAACTAGGAAAACACTGAAGCTGAGGTCTCTCCAGGGGTTTCCCACGGTCGTCACACAGCCCTGTCATCCCTCATCACATTCCTCTGGTGCTTGGCACACCAGGTCTGGGGCAGAAAGCCCTGCAGGACCTCCTGCGTCTCGTGCTGTGCTCGACATACAGACATTTTACTATCATGGTTAGACGGTAGAATTATTACTTGTCATCCTAAACTCAGTAGAATTGCCACTGTTTATGTTACTATTTGGATATATTTCCCTTTGGAAAAAGTAATAGAAAATGCTCCTATTTACAGAAATTTATTTTCCCAGTTTTATGGAGGCATGATTTACATGCAATAAAATTCACCCATTTAAAATGTGTGATTTAATGAATTTTGGAAATTATACATAGTCAGGTAACCACTACCACATTCAAAACCTAGGGCAATTGTATCCAAAAAAGCTTCTCTTCATCCTTTTGCAGTCAATTTCCCAATCCCCGCCACATCCACAAGTACAGGCAACCACTTTCTTCCAGGGTGGTTTTACCTTTTCTAGACATTCATGTAAACAGAAGAAGACAGAGTGTAGTCTTTAATGTTTAACTTTTTTCATTTTCCATGATACTTTTGAAATCCATCCATGTTGTAATTATCAATGTTGTATGAATCTTATTTTTAATTGGAGAAAAATATCTTCTAATATCAGTTCCATGAGAATTAAACAGCTTTATGTTTAACTTTAGTCAAAAGGATTTTCCTGCATAGATTTTTTAGGTAACAAGATATTCAAACATTTTTCGGTATTGAAAATGAGAAAAAATATAAATCTGAATTTTTATTAAAGGTTATTTGAATGTGTTTGTCTGTTATTATGTAGTTGATTTACCACTGACAAATACACACACATACACACACACAGAGTACAGGTTATTCAAAGGAAAGGCCATACATAAAGATAGAAATCACAATTTTATCTTTCAACCACCAGTAAATTACATCATGCCTCTTACCAACTATGCAAAGTAACAGATGATATCTATTTTTTCTGTTTGTCTTATTATTCAGTTTGTCTTAAACATGTTATTAAAACATTTAATATAATTCCTAAAAGAAATATATATTGTATATACCATCACAAACATTTTTCTTGTTCACATAAAAGGTTTTATTTTTTTGAGTTGTATCACAGTTACATAAGTGATATATATGTGTACTTAGTTCTTTATTATAGCTATAAATTAAATCACATTACTTTATTTTTTAAAGCACTTTGCAAATATTTAGATATGGTACTAGTACTTCCAGATAGATTATCTCACTAAACTCTTATAAAAATACTGATAGCTAAATATTTTCCTCCCATTAGACAGATGAGAAAACTAAGACTCAGAGCTAGGTAATTTTTATTCAAGTTCACACAGCTGGTAAGCACTGGAAAGGAAACTCTCAACCTTGAGATTTACAAGACTCCAAAGAACATGTTCTTTTTACCCTACTTTGGACTTCAAGTAATGGAAAAATTTTCCCCCAACAGGTTTTAGATCTTTTTTCACATTTATTTTAACTTAGTGATTTTCAAAAGATAGCCATCAGACCAAGAGCATAACCACCACAAGGGAACTTGTTAGGAGCACAGATTCTTGAGCCACTCCACAGATGTGATGAATCAGAAATGCCGGGACAGGGCTCAGCTATCTGTGTTTGAACAAACCTTCTAGATGAATCGGACACGTGTTAAAATTTGAGCATCACTGTTCTAAGTCGAGCTTGTGAAGAACATTTTTGTGCATCATAGAGTACTGTATTTCAGTCCCTACAGTTTATCTATGATTGCAGATAAAGTGTTCATCGTTTGGCTCAGATATAACCTAGCGATATTACTTCACACTCTCTCAGTTCATTTTATTTAACAACATTACTGTTGAGAGTTTCTTTAAATTTTTTTCTATTGTGTAGACATGGTAGATTTAAGAAGTAATATTAGAGAAAGCTTACCAGAGAGATAAGAAAATTCAAAATTTTGTGCAAATGGCAGCAGAACATTGTTACTAAGCAAAATTAGAACAATTCTTTCAAGTACGAGAAATATTGCAGTGCCACATTGGATTTGTCTTGCTGTCAGCCTGGATTACAGTGAGCAGGGCTTGTTCCATCAGAGAGTCCAGTGATGTGAGCCACATTGGAGTTGGGAAATAGAAACAGGGGCGCTGACTGCAAACAACGGAAGTGTTCTCAGTCACAGGTCAAGTACATGGTTAAATCATGAACCTTCTTCTGCCTACGCTTCACACCTTACCTCCTAACTCAGGGAGGACATTAACTTTATAGCTTCTCACACTCCCACTTCTTAAGAATGTACACTCGTATCCTCAGTAGTGACAAACCTACATAGACACAGTGATATGCCATTGCCTTTCCAATAAAAGGCTAGTTTTGTGAGCTGCGTCACTGAGAAAAGCCACTACTGTTCTTCACTCTTAGCAATTCAAATTACTTCACCTCTTTTTTATAAGTATGCAAGCATGCTCAACTTTAAGCAAACTTCTTAAACGATTAAATTCTATCTTGAGTTTAATTAGCTTCATAGGCCTCAGAAAGAACTTTCTATAAAAGCCCAATTTTTAATTTTGGGAATATGATGTACTAAAAATGATATGTTTCATTTATGTTGTGCTTTACTAATATCATGGTATCTTCAGGTATATTGTCTCTTCATCCTGAGAGAAAAAGCTATGAAATAAGCAGTTAAGAAAACTGAGACAAAAAGTAGCTAAAAGCCAGAGTTGCAGACAAATCAGTGATTGAGCCAAAATCAAAACTGCTTCTCCCAATCCCTGCAAAAATCCCCTCCTCACACAGCCTGTCTCCAATTTTTAGAAACTGTTTGTTTTTACATGTCTGTTTTCTATTCAGTTTAAATCAAGGAGTATTTATAATGAACCTGCCTGGATCATTTTAATACTTAATTTATTAATGACTTTGAAATGCTAATGGTAGGAAATTACCTTTCCATTTTATTAATTTCAAAACCTGTATTGTCTTTCAGGTACCACTGCTTTGTATTTGTTCCTGGTTATGCATCCTTCCATCCTTAGTAACTCCCCCAGCCCAAAAACCTTTGAGGAGGTACAGTTCTTTAATAGAAATAACTACCACAGGGGGATTGATTGGTAAGATGGGTTATTAGTATAAATCTAAAAGTATATGTACTGTGCACAGTATAAACTGAGTGCTAATACTGAGAAATAAATAAATTTGCAACCACATACAAAAGTAACCTCTTGTACCTTGGAAATAGGGTAATATTCCTACATTCAAAAGTCTGATTTTAGACATACATTCATACATCCACACCCTTGTTTATGCAGACTTGTTACCTCAGTCCATGTGTAATTTCAGTTGACATAATTACTTTTGATGATGATTACAGGTGCAAACTCAGAGAAATAACACCCAGAAATTTCATTCCTCTCTATTTATAAGAAAATACTTTCATATCTTCCTCTTGTACACTTTTCATTAAGTGAGGCTATGATCTACATATATAATTTTCTGTCTTGTAGGATATAAAAGGCAAAGAAGTAATGGAAGAAGAAATGTGCATATATTTCATGAGAAATGAAAGCTGTAAAAAGCTATCAAAATAATATAAACTTTAATATTTGCCCTTGAATTAAAATTAGAAATATATTAAGCATCTGAAGGGAATAGTTAAAAAGCAAATATGTTATTATATATCAAACTACAGTAATCTAATGGAAATGAATGATAAAATGTATCTAAAAGTCTTGCTATTATTGCTATAATACCAGACAGAAAATATGCTAAAAGAGTGAGATTCTTGTAATAATTCTAAAGCACAAAAATAAGCATTGTGAAATTATTTTAGGATGAAAAGTCATGTATATTAACCTCTGCTGTCAAATTGCATGGTCTCCATTTTATAATTACCAACCACTTCAGGAATGACTTATTGGTAGTCTAAATGGAAAGATAAATAAATGGATTAAATATGATTTGAGCATCCACAAGACAAGAATTTACAAACATTCTAATTGCTATTGTTACATCTTTCACTACCAATCCTTCTGTACGGTACTTCATATCAATTGTACAGTAGTAAATAACAGCAAGCAAAATAAAGAAACTGTCAACAATTTCAGCTACTACTTCACTACTGCCTCCAATACATATGCTGCTATGTAGTAGAGTGGAATGTTAACATCAGGACCAAAAGGACGCTTGAACACTTTTTGGAGGTAGAGGCGAGCACAATATTTGAATCCCTGAAACTTAAAAATAAATGAAGGAATAGTCACTTTTCTCACAAATTTTACCAAATAAAACCATTTTGATCATAAGCCAGCAATATGTAAGGCACTGTAATAAGAACAAATAGTCCCTTACAAGATGACATAATTAGAAATCTAAAAAGCAATGAAAGATTTTAATTATAACTCACTAAAATTACCCCAAATACAAACATTTTTGATTGACAAATTGCACATATATAAAAGGCAATTAATGCAAATAACAAATAATTGTAACTGCAAATGTCAATTTACAGTAGTAATGAGAGCTTTCCTCTCAATAATATCAACTATAATCATAGTGCTCAGATTGGCCTGGCCTCTGTCTGAAACAGTCCCTCAGCTGTCTTTATGGATCATGGTTCCACAGAGTTAAAGGTTGTATTCACAATAATTAATTTTTAAAGTTAACTCCTGGGTCATTTAAAAAAGGAATTTAGGCACAATTTTTTTTTTCCTTGAGAACTAGATGAAACTAGGGCTGCCTTAATTGACAAAAGGCTTAAGGTACAAGCAAAGGAGGGCAAATGAGAATTAGAAATCTTCACCTTTCAAAAATTACACAAGGTTTGCCACCAGAAGAGCTCAGAAAAATGTTTGATTTATCTATGCAAGTTTTAGGTTTCATACTTCAGTACTGTAATTTTTATTACATGGGAACGTAATGGAGAGTTGGAGTGGTGTGTCAAAATCTGCAGAATCCTGTTAGCATTTAGAGACTCTAAAGTAATTTGGCTTTGAGTTAATTCAATTAATATACTCAAGGTCAACAAAAATAGCAAGCAAATATAAAGTATTGCAAAAAGAACATCTTTCCAGTGAAAAAAACATGCTGATATGATTTATCAAAGTAACAAAGCTTAAGGGAGATAGGTATTCACCTGTAACTTACCTCCAAGTACATAAACTGCTCTAGCATGTGTGCCAGGACTTCAGATGACCTGAATACATATTCCCCAAGAGTGAGCCTATTTGGGGAACTTTCATATCTCATTCTAGAAATATGGCTAGAATATATATTACTTGTTTACTGAGCAAACATTTCTCAAGTCCCTGTAAGTACCAACCCCTATACTAGAAAAATGTGAACATATTAACAAGAACTGGACCCTGCCTTGCTGTGAGCCACTGGAGCCAGGCAAGTTCAACACAATTCAGGTGTAACATCCAGGACAACTTGAGGAGGTTTTTGAAGCCTAAACTGTTCTATAAACACCTTGGGAAAAGATTGTACAGTTTTAGAAGCTGTAAGTTATCTAATTCAAGCACCTGTGCTACACATATGTATGTCTGTATGATTTCTGGAGCCTTTCTGAGAACAAGCAAGCCTGAGACAAGCTTTAATCAGATAGGATTTACTAGGTACTAGTGATAACCTTACCACCCCTGAAACCAGTATGAGCTTCTAAATAAGAAACAACCTGAAACGTGGTACTTCCTATAAATAGAATATAAAGCAGAAGAACTAACAGATCAAACTCTCCCAAAATTTTGTATATCTCTTTGTAAAAGGATGCCAGAATGACCTATCACCAGCAATGCAACTCTCAGAAAACATAAAAGGATTTCTTAATTGCTCAGAGGCTCAAGATATCACTTTGTTCAATTCCCACTTAAAAAAAAAAATATATATATATATATATATATATATATATATATATATATATATAACTTTGTGGTACCAGTTACATTTTGCAATGCATTAACAGCTGGAATCCTACCAGAACCTTTATTAAGAGAAATGACGGGGCTGGGGATTTAGCTCAGCGGCACAGTGCCTGCCTGGTAAGCGCAGGTCATGAGTTCGATTTCCGGTACCGGAATAAAACTTTAAAAAAAAAAAAAAAGGAGACAAATGACATAATTTCATGGTCCAAAGTCTATAACAGCTTCACATATCTTTAACTCGAAGGAAATAACACATTACAGGAGATGTCACTGCGTAGGTGTTAATGATTGTTACTCAGTTATTGAACCACCTCACCTTGATTGACTGAAGCCATAGTGGCTTATGATTGAAGGGAGGTTGGAAAGTGAGATGATTATTGTAAGATGTAAGACGCCCTAGCAGTTAAATTGTTATAGTCTCTCTTAAAAGTCCCATTTCTTCTAAAAGGCTTCCCTTAGTGCTTCAGAAATATATATTATCTTATCATATGCGGATTTAGTTATATTTGACGAAGTTATACTGGTGGTGTATTAAACAGTGCTAGAGTCTACAGGCATCCCTATTTCTATGCCTCTGGTGACTTGAATTCTCACACTTAAGCATACAAAACCTGACTGAGAATTTTGAAAGAATTTCATATGTGTAAATATGTATATATTTTTAAAACTTTTCTTATAATTATTCTAAAAAGAGACATAAATGGCTCTATTTGAAAAAATTAAGCAAAAAGTCAGTATCTGCAATAGATATGCAACAGAAATGCTTTGACAATATATGATTAAATATAACAGCACAACACACTAGTAGTAGTAAAGTTATTTTGCTGTAATGAAGTAAAAATGCTTTGTGTGAATCCTTTTAAATTGTCTTTCGACTGAATGTATCATCTGTTTTGATCAAACCTTCTTTTTGTTTGGGTACCTGTATTTTTCTCTGTACAGTTTTTCTACATTTAGATGTATTTTATACAGTAGGGTTGATCATTTTTTCTACATTTTTGATATCTCAGATGTTTTTATTAATATTAAATAAAACAAAATATATTCAGAACATTTTCAAAATGCATTTTTTAGTGCACTGGACATGTTTCTTTTGCTAATTATGCTTCATTTTGCTTTGGGTTTTTTTTCTTTTTTATTTGAGACACGGTCTTGCTTGCTATGCAGTTCAGGCTGGCCTTGATCTCAGGGCAGTCCTCCTGGCTCAGTCTCCCAAGTGCTGGCGTTACAGGCATGCGCCATCGTGCCTAGCTCCTTTGCTAACTATGGAGAACAAATGCCTTACAGAAAAAGGTCTTTGTTTAGAAAACTAATTTGTGGGGCACCTCTAACATATTCAGTCATCAGGAAATTAGTGCAAACAAGAATCTTACTGAGAAAAATGTTCCTTTTCTAGGTATATGGATTTCTTTCCAGTTCCATCTAATGTCACCGCTGACTTTCTCTTTGAGAAGAGTGCAAACTACTTCCACTCAGAGGAGGCTCCTAAGAGAGCTGCTTCCCTCGTCCCCAAAGCCAAGATCATCACCATCCTCATTGACCCATCAGACCGCGCATATTCCTGGTATCAGGTAAGGAAAAGATGGCACACAGCAGGAAGGGAAGGGCTCTGGACAATGAAGGTGTTCTTTAGCAATACTCACAATCTCGAGATTTTCTAACTGTTTGATATTTACAGAAAAGTAGATAAATATTTCTTTGTCTCCCTGAAAAAAACAACTTTCTTCTTTGCTTTTAATGTTTTATTAATTTAACCAATTTATTTAATAAAATATATTAATGTAATAAAGTAAATTAAAAGAAGCAAAATATTGTGCATATGCTCTTATGCATCTCCATTTAAAAAGTGAACATTATAATATTTTCATTATTATCTTTGAACTAGTACATATGTATTCTGATTAGGGCTAGATAGGAAAATTTCAGGTGCTGCAGGTTATAAATTGTTATAATTCTGCCATTTACTGTGAAAGCAGACAAAGATAATATGTACATGAATAAGCAAGACTATTTTCTAGTGAAACTTTATTTACAGAAGCAGGCTGTAGGCAATAGATTGCTCAGCCAAGCTCTAAAAGAGGCTGAATAACTGCTTGCACTGAAGAAGCAACTTAATCACAAAACACATACAAGCAGTCTTCATCTCTAAAATCCCAACCTTTCTAAAGCTGTTCTAAGCCTTTCACATACACTTGACTGTCAAGATGTTTCTCACATTGGCTACAGCCTAGCACAGAAGTGATGACTTTGAAATAATTGAACACTCCAATCAGAAAACGTTTATCAAATGCATTTGTACTTTAATAAATTATTACAAATAACAGCTAGGGGGAAAAAACCTGTCAGTACTATTCTGACCGGCAAATGGAAAGGTTCAATAAAAAGCAGTCAAAATTAAACACAGGGCCTGTAATCTCTAGGAACTTTAGTTGTCATAACTCAGCGTTATAATTTTAAAAAATACTTTCCTAATAGTCATATACTCATGCATTCATCAAATAGTTTTAAGGCTAACATGTACAGAGTCTTACTCTAAAAGTAACTTGAAGCTATATTAATATATGTGAACGCTAAACCTAACACTGGTTTCAGTGTAAGTGGATAAATTCTGTATATATAAATAAGCCTATAATTAGTGATAAGTGATGGACATACAAGCAGACTAATTTGGTGATAAAGCCCACCCTAAAGATTTCCTGGGAGGTTACATTTAGTAACTGGCTGCTACAGAGAAGTCTGAATACCCCACTGTGCCTTTCCTACAGAAAGGATGGGATTTACAAGAGGATAAACTGAGGTAAAATTAAAATGAAGGAGTGGGGCTGGGGATTTAGCTCAGTGGCAAAAGTGCCTGCCTGGCAAGCGCAAGGTCGTGAGTTCGGTTCCTGGTACCGGAGAAAAACCAAAAAAAAAAAAAAAATGAAGGAGTGTCTTGATGTATGCAAATCAGAGCTGTGTGTGAAAGGTTTGTCAACAAGTCAGGCCTGAAAGTTCTTCTTTCCTTTGAAACTGTGAAGTTCATATGAATCTGAGATAGTACGTACTCAGAGTCTCCTTATCTGCAACTCTGCAAGTGGGTTGGATATGAAGCTAGTTGTCTGTATCCCAAGTGACAGGAATAACTCAGATCCTCCAGGATTTTGAACAACTAAGCACTCAACAATTATGACATTAGAGAACACAGTTTGTTAGCACCAAGCCCCTTTGGTTCTTTAACAAAAGCAGTATTTTCAGGTTCACAGTGGAAGAACATTATCAGGAAAGTTTTTGTGGCAGGGACAGAGTGGAAAAATATCATACAAAGCATACGGAATCCTAGAGAATCACACTGATAATAATCTGCATGATAGCATTGGAAATATCCTGGAAAGCTAAGTTCCGTGGAAATGCACAACTCCACACTACTCATTCATGTCAAACCTAGAGCCCTCTCTTAAATAACAATATAGAGCATGCTGCAAATTGGCAAATTTCATTTTGCACCTTTTACCTTTTCCAGGTATCTAGAGAAAAGAAAAATAAGCCCTAATTGACTCAAAAAGAAAGAAGAATATTGGAGCTTGGCAACCACTTAGCCCTTGAAAAACTGGGAATTTACAGATAAAAGGAGGTTTCAAAGCTGCAAGCTAACAAAACATCCTAAATATTGCAAATAAATCACTCCACAGTGGCAAAACACAGGCCTTAACAAAGTCTAGTAGAGTCTGTAGTGTAGTAATTTGAATCCCAATTGCAGCAAATTTGCTATTCAACTAGATGTGGTAAACAGCCACAAACTCACCACTAAGCCTGAATATTTATTGGTCAATTTAAGGAAAAGGTGATTTTCTCAAAACCATGGGCCTGAGCCTGAGCCATTATGAAACACTTTCATTTTTGGATTGCTGCTTTCTGCATTTTCTGCACAATAAATGATTCTGACTCCCTGCAAAGGTTACCATTAGATAAAATAATCTTGGTTTTTAGATGCTAGATAATATACGATAAAAGCAATGGCTTTCAGATAATGTACATGTCAGAATTTTCAGTAGTTTCTCCACTTAAAATAGCCAATAGAGTTTTTCTAATCTAAAACTACATTACTAGGTGGAGCAAAACTATTTGGCAGAACTACTAGAGTGCTTTTGTATTACGGATATTCACTGAGCATGATAAATGATTTGCTCTGGGGCTGAAAAGGGGACATTAGTGGAACTTTTAAAAGTTTGCTTTCAAAATAAAATATATGCACCAAGGAAGCAACTCAGGAAAGTTAGTTAAGGGATACTAATATGAATGTAGCCTCCAAATACATTCTCCAAAACTATATTCTCATCAGTATCATAACTTTAAATTTTGGTGCTCCAAGCAAACATTTTCATCCCTTATTAATTTCAAAACAAATAACTCTCCAGCAGTGAAGACTCTTTCCTTTAGCTTGAAGACTTGTCACAAAGATTGGTTTTTAATTATTTATGCCTATGGTTCAGGTTAGATTAATTATCCACCTTTTCATTATAGCATCAGCGATCACATGAAGACCCTGCAGCTCTGAAGTTTAGTTTCTATGAAGTCATCTCTGCTGGGCCGCATGCACCCTCAGAACTCAGAACCTTGCAGAAGAGATGTTTAGTTCCTGGGTGGTATGCCAGTCACATCGAGAGATGGCTTGTTTATTTCCCTCCCTTTCAGGTATGAAGCAATAAAAATGTATATCCTGTAACAATCTCATTAAGTTAATGATTTTTGCCTCCAGGATAGAAGAAATTTTTACTCATTAAAACATCACTAGCTTTTACCTCTTTGTTGTAAATAATGAAACTGCGGGAAAGAAAAAGCAGCAGAAGCAGAAAAACAGTTCAATTTTCTAAGAGTATTTCAAGATAATTTTCCCTGCTCCTTTTCTAATGCATGCCCTTCCTGATCTTAAGGGATTTTAAAAGCTTCAGATCTCTGATTCTTACTCAAACATGAACAACCCTTGAAAGGAAGCCTCTTCACCAAAAAAGACAAATATTGTTTTGCTTAATTAAGGGCCATTATTTCCTTCCTGAACTACCTTGATGAATTTTCCCTAAGTCTTGCATTTTCCTCTGATTTCTTTCTTATCCTTTTAGCTTAGCATCAACTTAAGATGCCAAAACCAACTTCTACATTGGATTGCATAAAAATCCAGATGTAGCTGGGGATATAGCTCAGCAGCACAGCACCTGCCTGGCAAGCGTGAAGTCAGGAGTTCGATTCCCAGTACCAAAAAAAAACCAAACAAACAAACAATGCAGACATAGTGTGTATTTGTGTATGTAAAATCATACTGTTCAGTGTAATAGCTGCTACCATATGGCTAATTAAATTTACATTACCAGTAGCTACCTATTTGACATGGCAGCTTTACAGCATGTCCATCATCGCAGAGATTTCCACTGAACAGTGCTAGTCTAGACTAATCGAAGATACAAAGGAGAGGTCTGGGAAAGAGTTGCATTACAGGCTTTGTAGCCTTCCATCACAAACTGTTACTGTTTGTCTTGTCTACACTGACTAGATTAATAAATCCTTTTCCCTTAGCTTCTTGAGGAACTTCTGTCCATCTTCAGGTTCTCAGAATCTTACCTTCTTCTCCATATGGATTATCAAAATATTTATTCAAACTTTACAGTGCTGCTCTTGAATGGAATTGAGAAGAATCCCAGGTCTTCTGTCTCATTACACCTGGACTTATTTCTGCTGTGTTTCTTCCCAGCATGATCCATGGAATCATTGCTCTGTTTATTTGGAAACTTGGTTTACATCTGTGATTTCAAAGTCACAATTCTAAGCTCTCTTACTTCTCACAACTGGCTTTGTTTTCATGGTGTTTGCAGAGCTTCTCAGATTATAAAACATGGATGTACTTAATTGCTATGAGTTATTTCTTACTCCATGTCATTAACAAGGATGATCTGATTGTGTCTAACAACAGTGCATGTAACTCCCTTCAGGAGAGTGTCTCTGAATAAGGTCAGAGTCAGCAATTTTTCAGTATGCACTTTAAATGTCTTTTTTCACTGTTATTATTATTATTATATTATTTTATTGTTATTATTATTCCTTTGGTAATCTAGTTGCTAATTATCGATGGGCAGCAGCTAAGAACTGATCCAGCTACAGTGATGGATGAAGTTCAGAAGTTTCTAGGAGTATCTCCTCACTATAATTACTCAGAAGCGTTAACGTAAGTTTATATTCCAACTAGTTTATTGAAGTTTCCATAGAGAACCGATGTTAAAGAAATTGTAGCTTGGTAATGCAATTGTCTGATTACTGTTCCTTCATACTGATATTTTCCAGTTAGATATTAACCACTTGGGAAAGAACTTTTAAATAGTGAAACAAAGAAACATCCTAAATCCTCTGTTGTTCCATAATTTCTGAAAGATTTCTCCTGGAAGTAAAGTGAAAAAGAAAGTAGTTGTGAATCTTTTTTTTTCTGGATCATTTGTTTATGAGTATCTGTTTGCAATACATAATAAATGCATTCATCCTATAATTTATACATATACATGTTGCATCTTGATCCTTTTTTCTCCCTCCTTCCCATCTCCGCTCATTGCCAGATCCCCTTCCCATCTCTACAAAGTCTATCTCCCTGTTTCCTATCATCTATCTTTTATTTTGCTTTTTCAATTATTTATAAATTTAGGTTTCTCAAATAAGAGAAACCATGCAGTATTTAACCTTCTGTATCTGGTTTATTTCACTTAGCATTATGATCTCAAGGTGCATCCATTTTCCTACAGACGACTGAACTTTACCTTTCCTTTTGGCGGAATAATATTCCATTGTATATGAATACCACATTGTCTTTATCCATTCATCTGTTGACAGACATGTAGCCTGTTTCCAAACTGTAACTATGATGAGTTGTGCTTCTATAAATAGTTGTACATATATGTAAATCAAAACCAACAACTAACCTCAAAAGCAGCTACAGTACTTTAAATATGTTAAGAACAAAACCAAATTAACAAACAATAGAGAGACCTCTTAGATGGATGCAGAGGAAATTAACTAGGTGGTTTAGGAATTTAAAGAAACAATGTCAGGCCAGTGTTCCAGGAGCAGCTAGACACCTGGGCTCGAGTCTGTGCTCGCCCACACTGCCACGGTTCCCAGCTGAAACGCGCAGAGAGAGCCAGATATTTCCCAGCTACTCCCTGAGGGCAGCGCGTGCATCAGGACCCCGCCGCCCAAGCCCCAGGAACTTCTCTGGCTGCAGGCGGGACAAACAAACCCTCAGCCCCACGCTCCCTGGGTAGCGAGAGCCAGTGTTCCAGGAGCGGCTAGACACCTGGCCTTGAGTCTGTGCTCGCCCACACCGCCACGGTTCTCAGCTGAAACTCGCGGAAAGAGCCAGGTATTTCCCAGATACTCCCTGAGGGCAGCGCGTGCATCAGGACCCC